ACAGTCAGATTTTATTTGAAAAACAGGTATGGGCCTTTATGCTTGGGTTGTGATGATTTGATGACATTAAGTCATTTTAAAAAGTGGAAACAACGCAGACACAAAGCATTTTCGTTTCATTTCGTTTTTATTTCAAAAATCAAATTAATATAACAATAAATGGCAAAATGACAGCTCGTTTCAGCAAATTCCACTATGGAGTTATAAAAAGCAAATCAAGTGAAACGCAGCAATAAATACATGTCAATTAATCTCATCCAGTGAAAGCAAAAGACACACGAGTTCATCTGAAGATACAAAAAGAAAAATACAAAAGAAGGCAGCAGTGATGGCTACGTTAAATAGGCTAATGTGTGAATTGGCAGCACTACGCTATCGAACAAATCCAAACAATATCGTTTGCGGTTTGAAAACAAAACAAAAGAAATCGCATATTTCTCAAGCCTCTGGCTCGAATGTGTTTAAAGTGCACTCATGAACTTTTGAAGTTGCAAAAGAAAATACATTATACAAACATAAATCACAACAACAATCATTTTATAACAAAAAGAAACGGTTGTAACATTATCAAATATAAACAATTATTCATACAGGAGACTTTGTGGAAGACAGCTTTTTGGTCGGAGTGACGTGGGAAATACCCGTGGCAGTGCTGCGCGCGACATGGCAGAGGGGTCTTCCAGCCACGTCTCCATGGAAACTGGATATTATAGGCTATATATCTATTGGCAGAACCGAATTAGGGCTATATCACATAAAAACAATTATCTTTAGACTATATGCAATAACTTGATAAAATATAATTATTGTTAAAAATTGAACATGGCTATTTTGAAAAAGCTAAAATTTCTATTCTCTTAAAAATCTTTTTGTTAACAGCAGGTAAACAGGGGGTTGACACGGGTTGACTTTGTGTTTTTGTCGGCTGGAGTGGAGCTTTATTATAAGTACTTCTCTGTATTGTTAATTGTTCAGAAAGAGACAGGGTGACGGTGGAGGTGGTGGCGGGGCAGCTTCAGTTCTGACAGGTCGTCTTCCTCACTCGACTGGAGCTCCATCGCCATTTCATCGGAGTCACTGAAGTGAGAGTGCGGGGAAAACTCTCCGTCGCTCCGGGGAGACTCTTTCCTTCCACCGGCCGGTACCAGGGAGCTGCCGGGCCGGCTGCAGGAAGGTGGGGAGGGCGAGCACATCGCTTCTTCGATCAGGGCGGAAAACTCTTTGTCGAAGGAGGAGGAGCGGAAGGTCGTCCCGGGTAAACTGCTGGATGAGACGGGCACAGCCGCGGCTGTCCTGCAGGCTGCAGAGGAGGGGGAGGCCCGGTCTGTCGCTCCGTTAAAGCCAGAGGTGGAGGAAAGCATACTGTCACGGTTTGGCGAGTGGGAGCTGGAGATGTCCGCGCTGCTGCCGCTGCTGCTGCTGGAGGACACCGGACCCTCGAGCAGCTCCGCCAGCGCGTTGATGTAAATCTGCGCCATCTGCAGAGTCTCATACTTGGACAGTTTCTTGTCGTTGTCCAGCGCCGGGATGACGCTGCGCAGCTCGTCAAACGCGTGGTTGAGCCCGTGCATCCGCCTCCTCTCGCGCGCGTTGGCGGCCACGCGCCTCTGCTTCTGGACCCCGTTGGCCGGTTTGCTGGACGGAGCTCTCTGCCTGGCGGACGCCTCCTCATCGGGCCCGGAGACGGTGCCTTTGAGGCGGCACAGGTCCCGGACTTTGAGCGAGGAAGAGGAGGGGCTCTTGGCTGATTTTCTGTAGCTGGGAGGGCTGGGGAGGCCTGAGGACCCCGGGGAGCCGCTCTCTGCAGAGGAGAAGAAAAGTTTGGTTACAGACTCCTGTGGGTGTTTTTAATCGAGTGCATCACAAGGTTTTAATTGCACTAAATAAACTTTGCACTTCAGATCACGATGCATATTTCTGCTTCATATTTGCAGGTGATCACTGTGGAAGTTTCTCCAAATGCTCTAAACAATGCAAAGTGAGTGGTTTCTCACCTTGGTAGGAGCCGGTGCTCGGGCAGGGCGAGTGCCGCAGGTAGTCGGGTGAAGTGGCGTGTGCCACGCAGGTGCCAGACGGCTGCACCGAGGCCAGCCAGGCGCGTGGGTCACTGCCGCTGTCCACGAGCGTCAGTCCGGACTCGTAGCGGGACTCCTCCGGTGCGTCTTTGCTCCAATCATCCACACTCAGGACCTCCATGTCTCCACAGGCACAGCAGCAGCGTTAGAAAGAAAAGTTTTCAGGGACGCGCACTGTGCAGGTAGATCGGTCGCGTGCGGGACTCCTTCTCTGGTGTCTCGAGGCGCGGCGTCGGTTTAAAAAGCGGCACGCGCCTGGGAGCCCCCCTCCTCTCACCGGTCGCGTGTTTACGTCCAATGAAAAGGCTCGGTGAGACCCGGGAGAGGTGATCACGGCCCCCCGAAGCAGGACTGTTTATGATCACGTCACGATTCAAGGAGGGTTTCACGCAAAGGGAGGTAAGAGGAACCTCCCACAGGACGCACGTGCACGGTGGAGGCGGCGTTGTTTTTAGGTGAGGAGCGTGGGCAGCGCGAGGCGTGCGCACGCCTGGCCAGAGCTGCCATACCTGCCCGCGTGTCCATCACATGTCTGCAGCATGTCAGAGGATGAAACGCCTCAATTTGGCCTCATCTGGGGAAGAGTCTTCAATGATTCCCTCCGTGGACATGCTGCATTCAGCGCAGGTCACACTGAACTAACCAGGCCTGGTCAATCAAAGTTACTTCAACATCTCCTACAAGAACCCCCTGACTCCATTAGTCTGTATCAACACAGACCAGGATAGGTTACATTAACAGATGGATGGATGGATGGATGAATGGATAAATAGATAGACAGAGTAGAACATCCTTAAACGATACGGGGTAAGGGTGGATGGATGGATGGGCTTTATTGATCCCAAACTGGGAAATTAATGTGATGCAGCATATTAGATATAACACATTAGACTATGTGGGCACTGGAAAAAGACCTGTTAAAATGCACGTTACCCCACAGGTATTCGAGTTTTTAATAAAAACCAAATAGCACAAAAAATAATGAGGTTAAAGGTAACAAACACTGTCCAAAATAAATAGTTTAGGGACAAAGCAAAGTTTCACCAAATTTCTACCAAAGAAAAAAAAACACTAAACAAAAAAAAAAAAAACTTCCTCTATGAGTTGAATGACTTAAACGGAACACCGGAAGTTACGGAGGAAGCTCTGTTTCTTTTACATTTCCAAAAAAAAAAAAACTAAGTTAAACAATCTTCCCGGCTCCCGGGGCTCGCGCGCTCATTGTCAATTCATTCATTCTAAGAACATCTCCAGTTTCCATTTTTCTTTTGAGGCGGCTCTGAAAGCTTTTGATCCGGCCCTCGGAACGCCCTGTCGGGAGAAAGGTCTTCACAGGGAACGGAAACATGAGCAGGGCTCTGGTGCGCTCAGCACTGTTTCTCCACTGAGCTGAAGAACCGTGCAGGCCTGTGGAGCCCTTCACAACTTGGAAATATGGCTGAAGAAGACACGCACACACTTGCAAAAAAATTTGATAATACAACATATACTATTGCTTTTCTCACTTTTCTATTTTTTCTCTGCAATATGTATCATGAATGCTTCAACATATTATTTGAAATCATGTGTAATATCCCATATAACTTAGTTTATCATTTGTATTTACTGACACTTTAGTTTCACTGTCTTATGTAACTTGCTGATTTTATTCTATTTTCTACATTGTTATTTCCATAGGCAGTGATTCTATATACACAATGTATTTTATTTCATTAACAATGCACTTTAAACCTAACACAATTTTTTAAATTTTCAATTAGCCTTAATAAAGTCTTACTTTAAATGATCTCCTATTTAAAGTTGAAAAGGACAGGTTGCATAGACTGGAAGAATAAAGTTTGGAAAAATTATAGCTGTTGAGGAAACCACCTGCAGTCTACTGATCAAAGCAGCCATGCTTACTGAGATGCAAACTTTCAGCCTATAACCTGGCAAATGAACAATGGACTAATTGCTGGGTGGAAATTGGCTATTTAACCTAATTGCCACGGTAGATTTAGGATAAGAAGCATACAGCAACATGTTTCTTACAGTAGCTCAATGTATGAGGCACAGTGATCAAAGACTGTTTGTGCCAGTTAACATTAAATGGGAGAACATGACCTTTTATGCAGCAGGCTCTGTATGAACTTCAGTACTCTGACGTGAACTAGGCCATATATCAAGGAAGGTTAGAACTACAGGCCCCGCTGCACAATCTCCATCTATAGAGGAGCTGGATATTGTGGGGAATTTATGGGAAGGAATCCCATAATTTCAGAGATGAGCAGACATGAGTCTTTTCTATTTTTTATTCATGTATTCATCACGGGGACGTCTTGCGGGCTAGAGGTCTGGCGCCGAGCCTTCGCCCCCTCTTCCCACCTACGAGCCCCCAGCCCAACGGGCCGGGCCGAGCTCCTGAAGCTACCGACAGGTTGGATATTGTATCTGGCGATTATTAAAGTGTCGCGGCCACAATGGAGACTCTATGTTCCATTGGTTACGCCTGGGGGGCTCCTGCATGGAGAGAGAGAGGGAGGGGGGTGGAGAGGAGTCTGCGTGCTGCCGCTTCTCATCCCCGTCTCCCGGGAGACAGAGGCGCGACGGGCACGAGGCTGCAGCGAGGAGAGCTGGGAGTTCTACACTTCACTGTACCTCACTTCATACACATCTGATGCTCTGAAGTACTTTACTCCAAAAGCTTCACTGTACTTCAGCCCACTACTTCCACTTCATATCAAATCTGATACTTTCTTAGTTCAATATAAGTTCAATTAAATTCTGAAGTACCCAAGCAGACAATACGTAAGAGGGTAATATTGGAAACAAGTAAAAAGCATTGATCATTATGTATGTTTACTTTTTTTAAGTTGCTCTGAAGATCAACATTTAAGATATATCTTTCAAATTAATATCAATGTGCATGCATTGGTATGAATCCCACAGATCATAATAATAATAGTTATACTAATTATAATAATCTTTATTAAATAGCAGCTTTCAAAACACAGTATAGTTAAAAATGAAACATTGAAGGAAACAATAATATCAATATAATATTTGTTCTATACTTAAATTTGGCTTAAAATACTTAAAAAAGTAAAAGGATAATTTTGGAAGTAACACTTTTACACGTATGTTTCTGTGTTGTTGGTTTACTATACTTTTCTTAAGTAAAAGCTTTAATAATGTTTTACTAAACTGTTTCCTTTTTTGTTCCCATAACACCACTTGCTTCCAGAAACCACCAAGGCTTTATAAAGGAGGGTGAACAGTCACTGCACAAAAAGACGACATTAATATAGTACGGAATTTTCTATTAATTTCCAATATTTGGCAAATGACTATCACTTACATTATAATACATAAGCACAGTGAGCTACAGGGACATCTCTGAAACTCGGGGGAGCTAAACAGCGCCTCTGTCTGGCTACTCCAGGCTACTACAATGTAGTGCTCCATTGAACTTGACAGCAGCAGTGACTCTCTCCAGCTGCTCACAGCAGCACACAGGCCTTTGAAGGGATTTGGAGTGATAGACACAAAAGCTCAGCTCATGCTTAAACTAAAAATCTATTCCACACAAAAATAAATTATCTCATCAAACCAAATCAATATTTTAAATTCAATCCAAATTACTGAACTCTAACTAAATATCCCATTAACATAATTTGTAGCTTCAGGTATATCCCAGGGGTAAAATACATTTTAATCTACAATTAAGGGAAACCCTACCTGCATCTATCAATTCTGTCCAATATGGATCAACTGGATCATTGATATTTAAAAGGTCAAAATTACACTGAGATGCAAGTTTTACAAATCTCTCAAAGGCTCAGATAATCAGTGTTAGAGGTTTGAAACTAAAGACTGGATTTTTCTGCAGAACTATTAACTGCTGAATAATAGTTGATCACTCTGGATCCTTCTATGACGTCACACATTAACCGTCTATGGCTGTCTAACGAAACATGTAAAAAAATAAATGATAGTAAAAGAAAAGAGAGATAGAGAGACAGAATCCATGAAAAAAAGATTGTGGCTACAGCAACTTTGTTTAGTCTTGATTCGAGCATGTTTATACTTACCGACGTCTGGATCAACTTCATAGAAAATACGTGACTTGTGCAGAATCTGGAGCGACTTGTGGAAAAGAATAGACAGGACATATCCAACGGAAATGAACACTGAAGGAAATCTGGTGATATTGTTAAAAGATTAAAACTTTTTATAGTTGGGTTTGTGTTCACCAGAAAGAACAGGAAGTGATAGTTGTGATGTGGAAGATGTGACATCTTGTCTTCATGAAGAGTTCTTCTTTAAATTCCCAGATGTTGAGGGTGATGTGAGGGAAAACGTCAATGTCAGAGGTGAGCCCCTAAATCACAAAGAATAACAATAATATATAACAGGAAATTATTATTCACGATTTGTTGATGAAATTTACCGAATGTTTTGTGTGGATTGGCAAAGACAACAAATACAATCCCACTGTAGAAAACCTGTTTATTAGACAAATTATACACAGAAAGCTTTGCCACTTGTAACAGAGGCCCCAGTTTGTTCAGTTTTTGAATAATATGCAACACATACAACAAAATAGGCCTATATTAAATACTGTACATCATAAACTTTTGAAAATTATCAATTAAATCCTTTAGTTCTATGTATGAAATTAAAAATGTTAACAGATAGCGCAGAAGCAAGTTTGTGCATGCTCTCTTTTTAATCAACTTGCCACTTTTTGTTATTTAGCCAGCAAATAATAAGATGGACTCAGGATGATGTGAGAAAAGCAAAGAGTGTGTGTTTTATGTTGACCATGGGCGGGACAGGGGAAAACCAAACGCAGTGATGTGACCGCTGAACTCAACACTAAAGCTCGTCATGATATACTCTTTTCTTTTTGTTAAACAAAAATAGCATCAACATGTAAAATATACATTTTATAACGTCTCTCTCATTTATGCTAAATAAAACTTTTTAAATGTCTGTGTCCTATTTGTCATTCAATAGCCATACTGTAGCCTAATATAAGAAAAGGATGCCTAAGAACGCTTGCTTCATAAACACCGTGGCTCAACTGAGTTCTCTATGCACGACAATTTTGCGGTTTTAGTTCTTAAAGATAACAAACTGAAAACTTGTTCTAAACAACTAACATTATCAATTATTAATACAGTGTTAGTGAAAAAAAAGGTTTGGTTCCATTTTACCACCCCAACCCCTCCCCCCAAATCCACAAAATACCTTTTAATGATCTTAACGATCCACTTCTCCGCCCCCAAAATGCACCTTAATGGTCTCAGTTTAATTAATTGGCACTTAAAAAAAAACAAGGTATATAAACAGTACCCTTAACATTACAGATATGAAATAGAAGTATATTTTGAACTCATCTGATAAAAGGCAGCCACTGGGTTCCGATGGACATTGACTGATGGTGACATTCCCATGACCCGAAAATACAGCCACTGACTCGCTGCTCTTAAATGTACATGTTGTTAAATTGGTTTTGGGAGGGTACGACTCGCTATAGTCAACATATAAGGCCTGTACTGAAGATGCTGTTGCAATGGCTTCTCCTGAACACAAAATCAACTCTGCTTCACCACTCGAACCTGATAAGAAGTGATCGATGAACTCAAACATGACATGACCTTACAGAATTAGCTTTTTATCTTTAAACACCAAGGCCATGGCAGCACTATAATTAAGCAAAACAAAGAAAAAAAAATCAAAAGTAAAAGTCTGAATGACAGTTATG